ACTCTGCTGACATTACATATATAGACTCGAGCTTTCGACCTCCATGATCGGTGTACGGATAATTTTGAGATTTTCGTACACCTTGAAGTTATTGGGTCCAAAAATAACATAATTCCCCGAAGTTGTCAGTTGTGATACTGATAAAAAATTTTTCTTCATACCTGGGACATGATAGACGTCCTGCAGTTGCACTTGACCAGGACTAAACCGTGGAGTGATGACCGTTTTGCCAATATGGGCTATTGTCAACCTCTAATTGTTAGCAGTGATAAACATCCGGCCTCCGTCATATTCAGTTGTGTTCTGTAACTTTTCTTTGTCCCCTTCATATGATTGGAGCATCCCGAGTCCACAATCCAATCATTCTCATAATCTATTCGTCCAGGGACAACGACAGCCAATGTTGTCTCTCCATTTAAGCTTGATTGCTTTTCTTACGAGCTTCCTCAGATATAGTTGGGACTATCTCCTCGACTATCGCCATGGATGCCTCTATGTCCCCCTCTTCTTCGTTGTTGTTAGTCTCCTGGTTGTTGGACGTTGCTATATTCCCTTCATCAGCCTTTTTCCTATGATTCGGCTTGCCATATACGTAGCACGGGCCCTTTTTATTCTCCTTGGATGTCTGATATTTCTTATAACGATCTTGTTGGACACTCTTTGTTTCAGAGCTTCTTTCTTCCTTTTTAATATTTTTCTTTTTGTCTCTTTTATTTTGTTGGCGTGGTCTCCGATTCTTTTTATGACTAAATAAAGCTTCATCTTCTTTCTTTAATGAGACTTTCGCCATTTGTCTGGTCAGCGCATCTTGGTGAGCTAGTATATTTTCAAGATTTACCAAAGAAGACTGCTCAGACCAATCTTGTATAGTGGCTATAATCCCCGTAAATTTGGGTCTTAAACCATGAATGATAATTCTTCTCATTTTAGCTTCTGAAACTTTATAAGTAGAGTCCAATTCAAAGATTTCGCGACAAAGAGTTCGTACCTTGTTAAAGTAGTCACGTACCGTCATCTCCCCTTGTTTGAGTGATAGAAGCTCGTTTTCAAGAAGTTGAAGCTTAAACTAATTCTTTTTGGAAAATAATGCTCCCAGAGTGTCCCACACTTATTTTGGAGTGCTTGTGTTCCGTATGTGTTCCAACAACTCTTTGTCAATAGTGTCTTGAGTGCGTACATGGCCTTTTCTGCCTTTATCTTCCATTTACGTAAGGCCCCGGCTTCTTCAGGTGGTGTGGCCTCTTCTCCGCCAACAATTTCCCATAGATCTTGGCCTTGGAGATACGACTCCATGCATGTCATCCATGTGGTGTAATTTTGATTATTGAGTTTCTCCATTCCGCCTAAAGATTGTATATCCGCCATTGTGACTTGGACTACCTTCTCGTAACCAAGCAAGCCTCACGCGCTTCATAATTTCTTTTAATTGTGCACGATGTCTTTGAACTCAATAATCTCCCCCTGGTTGACAATAAGTGATGAGTCCTTAATAAATTGGCACGAGCTTGAACTTTCCAGACGTGACTCTGATACCACGTGTTGGAAATAAATGAGCCAATGAACTCAAGATTAGCAAAACAAATTAATTTTATTATTACAAATATATCACTCAACTTACAATATCACTCAAAGATATTCACTCTATTAGCTCATTGTTTCACTCACGTACAACACACACAAGCACTTCACCCACTGTTTTATTTTAATCACTCACAACACTCAATCACACACTTAATATTTTCTTGTACACAAAAAATGGTACACCACGCACATATTTATAGACAAACAATGTAGGTTAGGTAAACTAAGTCGGTTAGCTAAACTAAGTAGGTGGCTTATGAAAAAATCTAGATTACTAATGATTTATTTACTTGCAATAATTTATAGATGCTTCCTTAATTTTCCAGAGTATTTTAATTCTTGGTGGCCATAGTTAACTTATTTATTTATTTATTTTATTTTATTCTTTTTATTATGTCGTTGATGATTTTCATACCGCGGCTCGTCGCGCCGCGGCGAGACCTGAAATGTACACGATGGGCGACAGCTCGTAGCAGTTTGAGCAGTTGCTTTTATTTTGAATCATGTTGAACTGTAGGAATAGAATGGTATTAAGTACTTTGTATTTTTATTGTTTCATTTTCTTTTTATCTTCAAGCAATTTTATAAATCATAAAATGCTCATTTGAGCACCAAATCTCGTGTCGACCGACGACCATTCTAGTGCGGGTTTACACCTTTTTCGTTATTTTCTTTAATTTCGATACACGATCGTAACAGAATACACATTTTCATTTCATTAAAACTTCAAACGCCACAAAAGCTGGAACAAATAATTAACATACCGAAACTACATGCCACATTCTAAGAACCATGTCAATGGGGGAATAACACAAAATGAAAACTAATTAAGTAAATAGTAGACTTTCAATACACATCGCAAGCCATTATATTCTGAAGCATAGCTGAACTGGATACACGAGGACCATTTTCAATTTCAAGCAAAAAGCTGTCCAGTTAAAATAAAAATAAAAATCATTAGGTCCTGGTCAAATATTCTTTGTTGACTAAGGGAGGAGTGGCTGAGTGATGGTCGACTTGATATGTCCGTTTGCTCCATTACTACAATGGTCTGCGGGGCACTGAATTGTTGCCATCACAAACTTTCTTTCCTCGTTCTTGCCCCACAGCACAAGGTACAACCTCGTTATGATCATCACTGCACCAATGATCCTGTGCACGCCCATCACAGTATAAGCCCCTTTCTTCCTCCAATGAAGGGTTTTTTTTTTTTTTTAATCAAAGAAAAATCATTTAATAAATGTGTTGATACATACCCTCCCAAGTAGAATTGCTCGCCCAAGAGAAGCGAAGACATGAGTGCGACTACAAGGGTTTGAACAGGCTGATAAACGGCCACGAAGACCGGCCCACCCCTATCGATGCACCATATATGCACTGCGAAGGCTACACCTGATGCCACCACACCATGCACCCACCCCAATTGCCTACATTGCTTAACTACTTTTGGTCACCCGTAACAATTAAATATTTAACATTCTGGTCGACATGTTAGACAAGTTACACGCATAATTCCAAAACAATCATAAATAAAATGCATGCTTAGAATCCTATTTGGTAAAAAATAAAACATGTTTCGTATTTAGTTTTGAATAAAAACTAATATTATTCTAAATCAATAATTCTAGGTTCAGACATTACAAAAATATTGAAAAACTAACTTGGTAATTTCATAATAGTTTGACTAATATAACCTTTAAAGTTGTATTGCAACCTTTGTTAATAATATTAATTAACTAATATAACATTGGTTTGTTTTGGAAGCTCTCAATTGACTCATTAATTTCTATGAAAACTCAAATTAGCCTAATAAATATAAAATTTTAATTTTAAACAATTGTTGTTGTTATTATTATTGTTATTATATTGTACTAGTAATCAGTAACTCAAATACAACTATTAACTTTTTATCAGAATTGTTAATAATTACTATATGAGATAATATTATGCATTTACTAGTTAATTGCACTATCAGCATTACTTTCATTGGAATAAGTCTCACATTTAATTTCTATCATGTGCCACATGGGTGAAGGCGACCATATTTTATTGGAAAATGCTACGATCCCGTTATGGGACCATCCCGTCGCGAGTTTTAGTCATTTAATACACATATAGTTAGTATATGATAGATGATCTAAGGGTTAAAAACGTCCGATGGAATGGTTCCGTAACAGGACCATAGCATTTCCTCTTTTTTGTTATTTCAATAATGTTGAGTAATGTCGTTTGGAGAATCTATTAAATGTTTTTTAGCCTTAATCTAGACCACTTTTAGGCATGCATATATGATGGGTTTTCACAAGCTTAATTAAACCCCTACTTCCTATTCAACACATTAATTCCACGTAGACATACACGTTGGACTTCGATTTTTTGGCCATCAATTACATGTTGCCATCACCACATTGATTTGGCAAATAGACCATTAATGCAAATAGAGACGGAGTTAGAACCACTTGTGGTTTTGATCTCAATATTGTTCAATTTCTCAAATGCCTGAAAAAAATAACTTTTTTTCATATAAATTATAAGTCCATAAAATATATCAAAGGTTTAGTTGACTCTTTCAATAACAACACAAATAAATAAATAAATAAATAAATAAAATATAAAACTTAAGAGGTAATTTTTTTTTTAATAATTTTATATAGTATATGATTTTTTTATGTTATATAACTTTAAAAAAAATCGATGATGACGTACAGCATAGAAGACGCTAAAGAGCTCGGCGCTCGAGTGGAACCGCCAGGCGCTCGGGTCCCTCTCCACGAAAGCCGCAATGACTAAGAACTGCAACACCCCAAAGAAGAATTGGTAGGATGTGAAGGACAGGCGGGCCGAGTATTTCTTCAGGACTGGGGCCTGCAGCACCAGTCAGCTCGACCACGAAAAGTAGTGCCAAATCAGGAAAACACACTCGAGCGTCCAACTCTTCCCACCGGCCGCCCCCAGCATGCGGGCCGTGTTGGACCGGCCCGGAAGCTGGAGGCATGGTGTCGGGCTGTAGATTGGGTGCCCCTTGTACAGCGTGATCACGGATGCTCCCGCCACGCACAACAGCGTCCCCGCCACTTTTCCTATTCCGACCTTTCTGTCCAATCTCATCATTTCTATCCTGATAATTTATCATTTTTTTGAATGCGAAAAAAATGTTTTTATTATTTAATTAATTTAATATGTTTTTTTTCGATTTTTTCTTTCTTTCTTTTATCTTTTATGGGGGGAAGGGTTCCCTGTGAATGACGGCCATGAGGAATGTTAAGACCGGGATGGAGTTTTGGACAGCCGATGCAAAAGTTAGGTGAGGTGTGGTCGAGTCCCAGCAAGTAGAATCCTTGATTTGTCGTGATCCTGACAAAAAAGAAAATATACGGATTTTTGTGTGATTTTGATTTGATTTTAAAAATTCGTATACTCTATATTTTGTAAGTATGAAAAATATGATACCCAACAATCGCAAGTAGGAAAAACTGGAGGGCGAAACTCCATGTTAGCCGCGGCCTGTTATTCCTAATGAAACATTCATTATATTCCACCACACAACATGGAAATAGATAAACATATTAGTATTATGAATATGATGAATAAGTAAAAGGACGAGTACTTTTCAAGAAAATAGGCAAAGGGCAAGAGGAGAAAGAAGGCAAGAATGTTTTTGTAGAGGGGGAACACAATCTTGCTGTTGCCCATGTTAAGGGCAGCCCGCGAAACGACATGAAAACCTGCGTATCCAAATTGCAGGGCCAACATGGCCAAGTGAAGCTGAAAATTCTCAGGGATCCAAATCATCATCGTCCTAGATGCAGCACAACCCTCATCGGCTATTTTTCCTAATTATTGAAATATATTACTAAGAAATAATTATTGGAAATAAAAAAAAAATTAAATGATTATGTTTATTGAGTTGTGAGGTGATTTGTTGGAGTAGAGAGGGTGGTGATGGTATATATATAGAAATACATACATACATTGCTTGGGAAAATTGAAGGTGTTGACTGATACGAGAGAGACGACACAAAAGTTTGGGTGAAAATCATCTCAATCGGATGATTCAATATTCTATTAACCATGAATATATATATACAAAATTAGGGCTACGGTTACCTAAAGAGAACCTAAGGCTAATATAGTAATTACACAAATATACATAATAACACCCCCTCCCCCCTCAAGTTGGAGCATGCAGATTTCGAATTGCCAACTTGCCAAGTAAGAAATTAAATTCGCGCTTCCCAAGCGCCTTGGTGAAGATGTCAGCGAGTTGTTCCCCAGAAGGAACATGAATAGTAGAAATGAGGCCTTGAAGAACAACATCTCGAACAAAGTGAAAATCCACCTCAATATGCTTAGTCCGCTCGTGAAAAACTGGATTTGCTGCAATATGCAGTGCAAACTGACTGTCACAATGTAACCGCATAGGCTAAGAGTGAGCGACACCAAGAGTAGATAATAGTCCCCGCAACCACTCCAACTCGCACAATGTAGTAGCCATCGCCCGATATTCAGCCTCAGCAGAAGAGCGTGCGACAGTAGGTTGTTTCTTGGTTCGCCAAGAAACAGGAGACTGACCCAGCTGAATAAACTAACTAGAAAGAGAGCGCTGAGTGAGAGGGAAAGACGCCCAATCCGAATCACACCATGCATAGAATTGAAGATCGCAGTCAGTACGAAGATGAATCCCCTGACCAGGAGAGCTTTTCAAATATCGAACCACACGCAGAGCAGTGTCCCAGTGAGCCTAACGCGGTTAATGCATAAATTGAGAGAGCATATTCACCGAATAAGATAGCGCAGGTCGAGTCACTGCCAGATAGATAAGACGTCTGACTAAACAACGATATCACTCGAGATCAGACAATAGATCACCCTCAGCAAGAGGTAGCTGATGATTCTGCTCTAACGAAAAATCAGTTGGCTTGCTCCCTAGTAACCCGACCTCAGCTAAATCACCATGCAGTAAAGCATTGTGAACATCCATCTGGTGAATTTCCCAATGCTTATCAGCAGCCACAGTCAAGAATAACCGGACGGTAACCATTTTGGCGACGGGAGCAAATATCTCGTGATAGTCAAGACCTTCCACCTGATTATTGGCCAAAATCACCAGACGCGCTTTATAGCGCTCAACGAAACCGTCAGACTTATGCTTGATCTTAAAGACCCACTTGCACCCAATCGCACGCTTCCCTGATGGAAGAGAAACTATATCCCACGTTAATACGAGTGTAATGAATTTCACCCAACTCCTTCGACTCGAACAGCCTCCGTACCTGCAGAACCCAACGTCGGGGGTGGCCCTTGCGTCGGGCCTCCGATGCCTAAGTCAGTGCTCAGATCAAGAGAGAGAGAGTAGTATGGGATGTATAGAGAATGAGAGAATGAGATACCTTGGCCCCCTTTTATAGGGGGAGTGTACCTTTATGGGCTCGAGTTGGGCTTGACCCATACCGTGATACTTAGTCCTTACGTGGGCTTATCCTCCAATATATATTCGTTTTGTCCATTAAACCGGGTGTAGTATAATATCATATATCATCTAGTCCCCCCCACTCTGGTCGAGTAAGCATAACTCGGTCCAAGAGTGAAATGTCTCTTCGAGTCGCTTCCGCTAACCTGCCACTGAGGTTATAGTTTGAATAAGTTCTCGATCGCCGAATAATCATAAGACTTCCCAATGAGCACCGAGAGACCGTAATGGATCAAAAATCGAATGACCATTCACTGAGATAAATAATTGAAGGACCTTCAACAGAGGTCGAAAAACCGAAAGCTAAAAGTCGAATGACAACTGAGGTCGAAAACCAAGAACCGAGAGACCCCTGAGATCGAAAACTGAAAATCAAATAATCGTCGATGAGATCGAAAGCCGATAATTGAGATACCGATGAGGTCAGAAATAAAAAAACTGAATAATCGTCGTTGAGGTCGAAAGCCGGAAATCGAGAGACCCTTAAGGTCGAAAGCCGAGAACCGAGAGACCGTTGCAGTTGAAAACTGAGAATCGAGAGACCGCTGAAGTCGAAAGCCGAGAACCGAGAGATCGTTGCGGTCAAAACCGAGAATCGAGAGACTGGTGAAGTCGAAAGTCGAGAACCGAGAGACCGTTGCGGTCGAAAGCCGAAAATCGAGAGACCACTGAGGTCGAAAACAAAAAACCGAGAGACCTTTGCGGTCGAAAATCCAGAATCAAGAGACCGATGAGGTTGAAAGCCGAGAATCGAGAGACCGTTGTGGTCGATAACCGAGAATCGAGAGACCGCTGAGGTCGAAAGCCGAGAACCGAGAGACCGTTGCGGTAGAAAGTCGAAAATCAAGAGACCACTGAGGTCGAAAACCAGAAACTGAGTAATTGCCGATGAGGTCGAAAAACAAGAACTGAGGGGCGATAGGATTGGGTGGTCTAAGAGAGCTCGAACAGGATGATCGAAACACAACAGACGTAAGTTCAAATTTTCAAATTCAAGACTTCATAGAGTGGTCATTCAGTTCTTGTTTTTCGACCTCATCGGCAATTGCTCGGTTTTTGGTTTTTGACCTCAGTGGTCTCTCGATTTTCGACTTTCGACCACAACGGTCTCTCGGTTCTCAGCTTTCGACCTCAACAGTCTCTCGATTCTCGGTTATCGACCGCAATGGTCTCTCGATTCTCAGCTTTCGACCTCATCGGTCTCTCGATTCTCGGTTTTCGACCGCAATGGTCTTTCGGTTTTTGGTTTTCGACCTCAGTGGTCTCTCGATTTTCGGCTTTCGACTGCAACGGTCTCTCGATTCTCGGCTTTCGACCTCAGCAGTCTCTCGATTCTTGGTTTTGACCGCAACGGTCTCTCGGTTCTTGGCTTTCGACTTCAGCGGTCTCTCGATTCTCGGTTTTCGACTGCAACGGTCTCTCGGTTCTCGGTTTTCGACCTTAAGGGTCTCTCGATTTCTGGCTTTCGACCTCAGCAACGATTATTCAGTTTTTTATTTTCGACCTCCTCGGTATCTCAATTATCGGCTTTCGATCTCATCGACGATTATTTGATTTTCAGTTTTCGATCTCAGGGGTCTCCCGGTTCTTGGTTTTCGACCTCAGTTGTCATTCGACTTTTGGCTTTCGGTTTTTCGACCTCTGTTGAAGGTCCTTCAATTATTTATCTCAGTGGATGGTCATTCGATTTTCGATCCATTACGGTCTCCCGGTGCTCATTGGGAAGTCATATGATTATTCGGCGATCGAGAACTTATTCAAACTATAACCTTAGTGGCAGGTTGGCGGAAGCGACTCGAAGAGACATTTCACTCTTGGATCGAGTTATGCTTACTCGACCAGAGTGGGGGGACTAGATGATATATGATATTATACTACACCCGGTTTAATGGAGAAAACGAATATATATTGGAGGATAAGCCCACGTATGGACTAAGTATCACGGTATGGGTCAAGCCCAACTTGAGCCCATAAAGGTACAGTCCCCCTATAAAAGGGGTCCAAGGTATCTCATTCTCTCATTCTCTATACATTCCATACTACCCTCTCCCTCTTGATCTGAGCACTGACTTAGGCATCGGAGGCCCGACGCCATGGCCACCCCCGGCGTTGGGTTCTACAGGTACGGAGGCTGTTCGAGTTGAAGGAGTTGGGTGAAATTCATTACACTCATATTAACGTGGGATGTAGTTTCTCTTCCATCAGGGAAGCGTGCGATTGGGTGCAAGTGGGTCTTTAAGATCAAGCATAAGTCTGACGGTTTCGTTGAGCGCTATAAAGTGCGTCTGGTGATTTTAGCCAATAATCTGGTGGAAGGTCTTGACTATCACGAGATGTTTGCTCCCGTCGCCAAAATGGTTACCGTCTGGTTATTCTTGACTGTGGCTGCTGATAAGCATTGGGAAGTTCACCAGATGGATGTTCACAATGCTTTACTGCATGGTGATTTAGCTGAGGTTGGGTTACTAGGGAGCAAGCCAACTGATTTTTCGTTAGAGCAGAATCATCAGCTAACTTTTGCTGAGGGTGATCTATTGTCTGATCCCGAGTGATATCGTCGTTTAGTCGGACGTCTTATCTATCTGGCAGTGACTCGACCTGAGCTGTCTTATTCGGTGAATATGCTCTCTCAATTTATGCATTAACCGCGTTAGGCTCACTGGGACACTGCTCTGCGTGTGGTTCGATATTTGAAAAGCTCTCCTGGTCAGGGGATTCATCTTCGTACTGAATGCGATCTTCAATTCTATGCATGGTGTGATTCGGATTGGGTGTCTTTCCCTCTCACTCAGCGCTCTCTTTCTAGTTAGTTTATTCAGTTGGGTTAGTCTCCTGTTTCTTGGCGAACCAAGAAACAACCTACTGTCGCACGCTCTTCTGCTGAGGCTGGATATCGGGCAATGGCTACTACATTGTGCGAGTTGAAGTGGTTGCGGGGACTATTATCTACTCTTGGTATCGCTCACTCTCAGCCTATGCGGTTACATTGTGACAGTCAGTTTGCACTGCATATTGCAGCAAATCCAGTTTTTCACGAGCGGAC